TCTAAACGCCACTCCTGTCTAGTATACACCAGACGCCTGATGGGGTGTCACAGATGAATGCTCAATATGAGTTTAGAATTTACCTCAGCGCAATGGGATCTTTGTGGTGAAAACGAATATCCAAACACAAACAAAGAAATCAAGAAAATGTGGTTCATGTATTCTAAAATTCATTTGCGAATACATTTTTATAACATGAAAAGCAACGAAAATTATTTATACACTTTTGTTCAATGCTCGAACAACTTAACAGTTCTCAAAAGTTTTACTTAGAAATGAGCTGTTTTTCTAAAAGTAGTACTTTCATTTTATATTGGATCCGTGCACATTCATTACCTTTGGAATTCTCGTCATAAGTTCCCTTAAATGATTCGAAAACACTTAAATAATAGAATTATGCTTGTGAGCTCTTGGAATTTAAATGAAAGAATTCAATTAACACCACACAGAGTATCATGAACACTACTATCACTAAACAAAATTATAAATTACTCATAAACTGTGTAATTAAATAATAACTGTGTGTTTAAATAATTAAACAAGAAAATTAACCAGTTTGTAAGGCATCCAATGTTAATGGAGAATCTAATTGAGTTTTGCCAGCTTTCTGCAATAGTTGCGCAAACAAATAGAACGTGCCTCTTTCTCAGAGTGATCTCGTTGACATCACGCCGGCAAGGCACTCAAAACTCCCCCCTCACCCCTCCGCTCACGTTTTGAATTGATTCCGTAATAACAAATTAATAGTGAATGAAAATACATCTGTTACAATGCAATTTTCCATTTCAAATAAACAGCTCTGCACTTCACTGAAAATGAACGGTGTGCCATTGACTGATGTTAAGGTAACGACATTTTTAGGTCTTTCAATTCAGTCAAACCTTAAATGGAACGTCCATTTAAATGAATTGAACACTAAATTATTCTGTATACTACGCCTTCAGAATTCTTTCAAATGCAGTAAGCTCCTTGTGTATATTTCCCGAATGTTCATTCCCGCCTGAGATACGGCGTAATATTCTGAGGAAATTTATCTTATAGCTTTTAGACTTTTAGTCCCAGACTTTTAGATTACAATTAAGAATTCTAGGAATAATAAGCAAATACCGCCCGCGTGATTCTTGTAAACCCCTGTTTATTAACGGAGGTATTTTACCATTTCCCTTGTCTCTTCTTATAGAATCAATTGACTAAAAAGTACAAATTGACTAAAAAGGGCGGGAATACATTTTCAGCGAATGGCGATGTCTATAATTACAATACTCGCTGTAGTAATAATATTCATTAGGTAACAGTATCAACAGCTCACTACAAAAAATTCACATATAATACATGTATATTATTTAAAGATACCTTGCCAGATGACGTTAAACGATTAAATCCGATGCAAAAGTTTAAGTCCGAGTAATATTTTTTTCTGCTGCACAACTGTTTCTATACAATTGGAGATTATACCGAGCATCCAAAAGGAAAGTAATATTAATTTTAACAATGACATTTAATGTATTTTTTACGATTTGGATTGTATAATTGTAAAGAACTGTAACAAGTAATGTTCTTCAGCTTCTGGGTCAATGACCCCATCTCAATCAGGTTTTCGTCCTGTTTCCCTGATCCTCGAGCAAATGCTGAGATGTCCCCTTGTTTTGCTTGTGGACATTATGGTAACTCCAAATTACCTTCTCCCCATAGTACGTCACACACAGTTTTTAACTGTTTTTGGAGTAAATAAATACGGCACTATATGATCATCGCCACTGTTACAACAAAATTATAGTTCCATCTAGCGTCTTCAATGACGCAAATACTGCTGGAATTCGTCGCCTACCGAATTCATTATGAATAACTATTGCATTTGTTGCAGCACAACTTATTTTCACGATAGTTTCTATCACACTACTAAAATCGAAGTGGCTGCTCGCTCGCATCTCTCTTTCTCTCTAAGCAAAATTAATTACGACGACTACGACTTCTCTACTTCGAAGCAACTCGAGTAGTTGCCCGCCTAAGCTCTTGAATGGAAAAAAAACATGGAAACAGGAAAGTTGCTGCCGCTTATGACCTGAGGGGTCACCTCCGCTGCTGTCTCGACATGCGAGGCACGACTGTCTTGAAAGGTGGCAAAAACACGCGGTTGCAAAATTGTCAAAACATGAACAAGTGCCTTAAGAAATGTCATTTACATTTTTTTGTAAATAGTAGTTTTAGCGTAATTTCTGTTTGATATTAATGAAGCATTCCGTCGTCTCGTGCCTAACGATAACTTGTAATATAGCGAGAAATTATGTGCTGTTGGAACACCACTAGTTTCCTGTTGAAATTGTTTGGATGTTTGAAAATTTCGTGAGCTTCTCGTAACCGGGTGAAGTAGTGGATGTAGTGAATACAATGTCCGTGTCTTCATATATGATGTCGTGTTCTCTGCCCGAGAGAGAAAAACTATTTATAAACTTATCCCATATTTTTGTTTCATATCTTTATCTTTAGTTTTATTGTTGCTTTTACATAATTTGTCACTTTACAGAACGTTTTGTAATTTTCTTTGTCTTCCGATCAAATTTTGTTCATGCAGGTTTGGGATGTACAAATATTCCTCGCGACTATTTGCAGTTCTTACTGATTCAGCGAGTATCGGAGTGAAGTCGTAGGCTTCCGCGGAGTCATGTGGGTGATCTGGGCTGTCCGGGTGACGCCGCGTCGAAGGCTGTGTTGCCGACGTTTCGACCATCCTGTCGTGGTCTTCCTCAGGGCTGGTATGTCAGCCCTGTAGTATGCTGGTATGCTAGCCCTGAGTATCGGAGTTTAACAATGAAAGTGATTCATTCGTCATTGTCGTTTTCAAGTATGTTTTATTAATTCTAGACCACCTCGTTATACTAACAGGGCAGGAGAGGGCTTTTCTCCCGTTTACCCAGAGGGCAAATTATCACAGGTTTTCAGCGCGCTCTTGCGCCTGAAACGATATTTTGGAAAACTTACGTTAATATACGCATTTTATAGAATTTTGTCTACTTTAATTTTATGTATACAACTTATTTTGATAAAGCTCCTGCTTGTGGAGATATAAGCGAAAAATTGAAAAATGCGTACTATTTTACGGTTTTTTGCAATTTTCTTTGTGAAGTCGACATTTCTCGAGGTGGTAAACTTCAAGTCAGAATTCAACACCCCAAAAACATACATAACCGCTGAGATGAAACCTCTGTATTTTTGTTCTGGGCGGAATACCTAGTGACTCGACTAATGTTCCCACCTATAGAATTAAAACAGGCCCGGCTAAATGAGACCAAATGGCAGTACTGGTTTCTTTTTCCAAAGCATTTGAGCAAATACGAGTTCACAATATTCCAAAAGCATTACATACCCGTTCAAAAGGCCTGATTATGTAGATACTCGGTTACCACACGTTCCACATTGGTCCGCACTCTCAGGTCGTTACATGCGTTTCTAATCATAGGTTGCTATGCCTCCTCGGAGAAACTCTTCTGTCCATCTCGCGACTCACCGGTACAAAAAGTCATGGTTCCCAAGAGCTTCCTCCAATTTCCTGTGACATTCTCAGGCATTTCTCCCATGCAAAACGGCTAACTTTTTATATGAGCGCTCCTCGAAACGGGTTACATTCATCTCGCATGGCGGCAATCAGACAATCGATTTCTCGTTGTTCTCTGTGCTAAGAAAGACAGCGCCATCTATTATTGTGATCACACATTTCTTTCACTCGAGAAATAAAAATTGTCTGATCCGATAATATTTCTCTTTTAAAAAAATAGTTGCCATGACTTCTGCCCTCAACAGTCGTACTTCTAGATGGAACCGAGTTGTAAAGTAAGTAACTAACTTTCATCTCTATTTGGCCGCGGAATAAGTGAAAACGGTTCTTTTGGAATTTTTTTACCTGTCACGTCTTTTGAACCAACGACATATACGTATAATTTTACTTACATCATTATACGTATCTGGAAATTGTGTCAGCAATTTCTGTTTGTACTTTGTTCAATAGCTACGTGAGCCCCATCTTTATCGACCTTGATTATTTAAATACGTGGTTCCTGGTTGATACATTTCAGTTCTCTAGTTTTCTGTTTAATTCCCTGTCTTGATTATTCGCATGATGGAAAGACATAGGTGAGTTGCTCCGGCGCATCGATTTTTGCTCGTTCTGCGCAACACCAGTTTGCGTCACGAACCACGTGACTACAGCATGGACACTTCGTTTCAAAAGCCACGTAAGACGCTGGCCGCCAAGTTGCATGGTGCGACAAGTGTTGAGGAACATTTTAAAAATGGTACAAAGTGACAATTTTCAACTTTGACCATTGAAAAATAACACGATGAAGATGTACAGAAAGAAATATTTCAAAGAAAGGCTTCATAAATAAATCTAAATTATTTTGTTGGCCTTGTTTACCGTTTTCAACGGAAAAACGTGTATGGTATACTTCAGGATTTACTGATTTAATTTATACAAGGAAATGAAAAGACATTCAAGTTGTAAAAGTCATTTGAACAGCATTTTGAAGTTGGAAACTTTTAATTTAGCACAATGGATCGATCATGTTTTAGATCAACAGATAATAATATTGCACCAGAAACAAAAATATTGCACACGAAACTGTGAAACACGAAATATTGAAAATACTCATTGATGTGTGCTTTCTAGAATTTCAGGAACT